GGGCGGGGGTTGGCGGGGACCCCGTCCGGAGCCGGAGGAGGGGGCGGCCGCGGGGCCTCCCGCCTCTGCTCCCGAGTCTCCGGGCACCATGCTGTCCAACTCCCAAGGCCAGACCCCGCCGGTGCTGTTCCCAAACCCGCCGCCGCAGCCCCCCGCTCCCGCCCAGCCTCATCCCCCGGCCCAGCCCCCGCCGCAGCCCCCGCAGCAGTTCCCCCAGTTCCATGTGAAGTCGAGCCTGCAGATCAAGAAGAACGCCATCATCGACGACTACAAGGTCACCAGCCAGGTCCTGGGACTGGGCATCAACGGGAAAGTTTTGCAGATCTTCAACAAGAGGACCCAGGAGAAATTCGCCCTAAAAGTAGGTTTGGGGCCCCGGAGAGGGGAGGAAGGGCATAATGGGGCTCCCGGGGATGACCCCTGGCGCTCTAGCGGCAGACCCTTTCCTCGGACTGAGTGTCTAGGGTGGAGGAGCGGACGGCCACAGCGGGGCCGTCCAGCCCGGGCACCCGAGAGGTGCCAAATGCGGGGCTGGGGGTGGCGGGAGAGGGGACCAGTGGGGAACGCTGGGTCCGAGTAGACCACGCCGCTCAGACCGAGTTTCCGGTCACCTCCGGGCGTGAGGACTCCTGAGGACTCTGCCATTTTGGGGTTTGAGCGGGTTCCAGCCGACTCGGGACGGTTGCCCTTGGGACCACTTCTGCTAATTTCACCCTGTCTCGAGGAAGTGATTTTCAGGGGTTGTGGTTCTCCATCCTCTCCTCCCTCCTTCTTTTCTTTCTGCGGGCACAAAAGGCCCATTACTCATTGAGCTGGTTGGTCGGTTGGTTTGGAGAAGTAGGATCTCAAGAGGTTTATTTAGCCTCACTCCTTATTTGGGAGCCGGAATGTGTGATTTCACTTCCCTGGGCCTCGCGAGGGCAGCGGTGCCGCCTTGGGGCGCGCCGGTCGGGGAGGTGTAAGGCTGGAGATTCCGCGGAGACACCGCCCCCCCAGGCGCGGGGGAGGGATTGTTTTGATCTGAGAGCAGGCCCCCTCCTACCTCCAGTGCCTGGGAGGCTCCAGATGGGAGGCCGGCAGGCTCCGGCACGAGGTCTGCTGTTTCCATAGTTCCATTGATCTTTGTAAACGGAGTCTGTAAGCCACGATGTGGCCCGGTGCTGATTACGAAAACTGGAGATGGCCACTTGAGTCCTGGACTTGGGCAATGGAAGGATGGTAGGAGGAAACCTTATCCCTGAGTTGGGGTAACTCCACCTTCTAATTTTTTTGAAATTTCTTGAGAGGGTAGGGTAGAAGGAGAATGGGGATTCAAATAAGAACACCCACTTTAGAAGTTAAACAGAATGGGCTTGGAGGTCTGACTAGGTGGGTGGGTCCCCAGTGAAGTGTGAGTTAGTCCTTCAGAGTCATCAACCATGTTTTCTTCTCAGGGGTTTTAGGTCAAACCAATTTCTGAAGGTTACACCTAAAATCTATTTCCCTTGGGGTGTCTTAATGATTGGAGGAAGAAAAAAATACTTCCTGTGTTATGTTTTTCTTTTCCGCTTCAGCCCCCACAGCTAGCTATATTTCATTTGTCAAATACAGAACTCAGAAATGAATTATGGATAGAACTTTTGGAATATACAATCAGATATAATAAAATCCAGTACTTCGGGGTTGGAGAGGGCATACATGTCCAATTTCTAGATTTTAAGCCCTCTAGAATCATTTTCTTGCTTTCTTCATACTTAATACTGTCACATTTCTTTGGTTTCTGCTATAAACTCTTGCTATGTAATCTTGCTTGTTTAGTGTTGACTGTTGGAGAAGGAATATATCAGTACCTTGAACACTTTAATATTTGTGCCTTAGATTTCTCTTTCCAAACTGATAACTGGAGAGAAAGGAGAGTTGGAATGATGGTGGCTCTGACCTTGAATGAATACAGTTTGACCACAGTTAACCCGTACTGATGAGGAAGTGACTGACATTCTTTCCCTGAGAGTTTTTTGTCCTCTCTGAGATGCTGTTAGTGATTTGGGGGCACTGGTTGTTCATTCTCTTGGATAGTAGAAATTATATAAAAACTTAAGACAAAAGCTCTCGACTTCTGTTCTTTATTCTATTTAATAGACACGAACCCAAAATCATCCTGTAAAATGTGTTTGGGTGGTATTTCAGATTTCCATTGTAATTAGTAGGAAAGAAGTTTGGATATTTTTCTCCTTTGAATATTTTTGAAAGGAAAAATCCAGCAGTATGTTAAATAATACTCATAGCTTATCCCTCTCAGGTTAGAAGTGGGTGAAGAGTGAAGTCAGTCTGTTTTGACAGGCAGCCTGTTCTTAGATCTTGTAAGTTGACTCAACTGTTAAATTGCAGATTCTACACACATCTTTTGTGTTAAAACTTAATAATAGAGGAAGAAAGGAATGGCGAGGCATTTGGAGACTGACAGCAGTGTCAGCAGCACTTCCATATCCAAATATTGGCTAAGACATAAATACAGCTGTGGGGGCAATCTGGTTCAAAGAATACTGTTCCAGAAGCATACACCAAAAAGATTTCTAGATCTTGAATTTTGATCGACTTTAGGTGCTGAGTAGCGAAATGATTTTCAAAACCAGGAATCCTGATCATAAAGTAAGATAGGATGTGGAGTAGGAGGGATTACCTCCCCTAGAAAGGTGCCTAAGGAAAAAGGAGGGGACTTCTGCTCTGCCCAGTGCCCTGCAGCCATTCCTGGAGATCCAGGGCCAAGCTATGGGGCTGCAGCCTGGCCTTTGCTGGAGTGCAGGAGTCTGCAATCTTGCAGTTGGGGGATCTAGGGGCTGCTCAGCTGCCCTGCTCTGTCTGTGGTCTGGTGACCTTTTAGCCCTGTTAAGTAAAATTGATACTTAAGAATTGGTCCCAGGGTCCAAAGCTTACCCTGCTGCTTTTGTCTCTCCACCTCAGAGACCTAACATTTAAACACTTTTGGTGGGTGCTGTGACCTCACCATCTTTCCTGGCTGCTTTTGCTAAGTTCTGAGTCATACTTAAACTTCTAGTCAGAGTTGGAAGGGACTTGAGAGGTCATCGCATCTAGCTCTTCCATTTGCAGAAGGAAAAACCAAGGCCCAGTGCGGGGGAGTGACTTGCTCAAGGTAACAGCTATTCACTTGGCAAAGGCAGGTGTTGAACCCAGGTTGTTTGGCTCGCATGCACTTCCAACTTCCTAACTGCAGTGACAGCACAGGCTCTGCAGGCTGCTGCTCCTGCTGGAGTGCTGGGAGCCTGAGAGTTACTCTGTCACCACAGGGCCTCCTGTGACTGTCAGAGAGGAGGCTGGGTAGGCATTTGCTGTCTCCCCAACAATCCCAAAATTGGAGGGGTACCTTCAAAACCAACTCAGCAGCTCTATGAGTTTTAGACTTGCTGTTACAAGCTTTTTTTTTTTTAAAGCCACTGTCTCCCTTTTAGGGAGTTTTGATAGAAACCTTATTATTTTTTGTGCAAGAACATGGGAATTCTATTAATTATTTCTTTGATATGGACACCTAGTCTCAGCCCACTTGTGTATTAATTGGTTGGTTGTATTCCTTGCGGGGTTCCTCAGCTGTTTCCTGTGTCACTGTGTCATAGTGACTCTTAGGTATTAGCTGAACAAATTTAATTAAAGCCCACACCATTGTCCTCCTCTGCTGTGCAACTCTTATTAGGTAAAGCATATTATTGCTTTACAAAATATAGAATGTTGTCATAACTTATCTCTGTTTGTTTTTCCATTGCGTGGATTAGAGAAAATTAGGTACTGGAGTCTCTTCTTTTATTTCTGCAGTGGTCCTCCTGCCCAGGCCATGTTTGGTGCCACTGCAATGTGGCTTCCTTTGGTGACACGAAGGGGGGATCTTTGGGACCTGTCATGATTGGCCTGGACACTTATAGGGGAGATGCCGGAGCTCCCACATCTCCATGGGACAAGCACTGTCTCCTGTCTGGCACACCTCATGCTGTGTACCTGTGGAGAGCAAGACAGGTAGTATGGCTGGGTGAGAGGCACTGCCCCAAATTGGGGTTTGCTGGATGGACTCACAAGCTGAGGAAAGTTCCACTGGCCAAACCAGCCACTTTTTTTTTTTTTAAATTTATTTATTTATTTATTTATTTAGAGACAGAGCCTCAAGCTGTCCCCCTGGGTAGAGTGCCGTGGCTTTACAGCTCACAGCAACCTCCAACTCCTGGGCTCAAGCGAGTCTCCTGCCT